CGTCTGGATACCTCCAGGTTCTCCAACGTCATGACCACACATGAAGCAAAGTAGACCCAACATACTGCTCCGATGCAAACGTTAACTATCTGAGAATAGAGGATGCGGTGCAAGGACACGCCATAGGCATGGGAAATGAGGAACTTCTTGGAGCTGAGGTATAGACAATGAGTGACCAACCTGCATGTTGATGTCGGCACTGTGGAAGCCCGCGGTTGCTAAGAAGAGATGCCAGTTCTGGAAGACCCTTAGGCTGGCGAAGAAGGCGAAAGAGAACCATGTCTTTAAGCCAAAGTCGTCGACCCAGACAGACTGTCCCACTACAGATACCACAACGAACACAGCGATGAACACCTGCGGAGGGCTCAACGGCTCCAGCCATAGGCCAACGTGGATGGTAGTGTCAGTGCTCACCGAGCTGAGGGAGTGCTTGAGAAAAACAGCAGTGCCTTGTGTGATGTATAACAAGCACAGCATGATGGTTTCCAGACCGTATAATATAGCTATGAAGAAGTTGAGGGAATAGCTGATGCTGAATAGGAGACGCTATGTGAGTTGTTTTTGGCAGGGTCCAAGCTTACGTATGAGCGGTCCAGGTATAGGATTGGTAAGCAAAGATGCAACATTGGTAGAGAGAGCCTATTATGACGAACCCGAGGTAAAGGTAGGAACCTCGAGTGTATCCCTACAGAGGATGTAGAAACCACACGAGCTCAGCTGGGGGCTACTTCCGCAACACTCAACTGTCGTTTGAACTTCTCGACCGACGTGCTACCCCATCTCGCAGCTTGCGTTAGGAAAAGCCCCGTACAAGCAACGATGAGCCACACCTAAGAGGGCACACCGTAGAGCCGTAGAGGCAAGGTTGGACACACAATGAAGCACTGCCAGGTGACTCTAAGACCCCAGTCCCAGTCGAAGAGGGCACAGTGGTCACCACAAACCCAGCCCTCGGTATCTCCCATATCAATTGTTGACGTATTGCTGTTCGACATACCAGAGATTATATCAAGCTTACACAACTGATTTCTCCACGTACTAACTTGAGGTAACTCAATGATTGGATCCGAACGAGACACATACTGGGGTGATACATGGCGATGTATATTGTATAGACGGGGTTATAGACTATGGATGAAATAATATACTGCTCGTAGAGCAGTAAGCTCCCTTTACGGAATTCTCTATAGGTAGACAATCGAATGAGCACTTGCCTTCCGGCAATAGTTAGGCAGCCTCTCGAGCTCTCTGACGACGTGTAGACCGTCGTATTTGAGGACGAGGGCAGGCACTGGGGGCACGGGAAGTGTTAGTGTAGGGGATGCTGAAGGATGTGGGATATACCATGGAGGATTCAGAGCGAAACTCCCACCTCGAATCGCCATGCATAACGCTCCATCCCATTAGGCATTCCTCTCTAGCTCGTCTCCTGGCCTCTCGGACCTTACGTTTTTCGGCTGACTCCTTCTGCCGTATAGTCTCTCCATCGAACTGACGGGGGGTAAACCTGCCTTGTTCGATTGGACATCCACATGTTACCTTCGCACGCCTCACGAGCTCCGATGCACCAGCTTCAACCAGCTGAGTCAATGCCTGAAAGATAGACTTTGATGCGTCCCTAACCAGATGAGCTGCACCTTCTTCTTAGACAACGATTGTTCATCAGGAGTTTCCTCCAACCCCGAGAGTAGTTGTTCAGCCTGAAGGTACATGTCGTGGAGGGGTGTGCCCCGGCAGCTCTCGATGAGCTCGTCTAAGAGAGCGGCTTTCGTCTGAAGTAATCCCATTTGCGGCTCTCACTGTCATCTCTAGCGGGCGCTTTCTTTGTTCTTGGAGGGGACGGGCTGAGATTGAACTCTCCCCCAACGTTCGACCCCAGCGGTAACGTTACCTCTCGGGAATGCTCGTCATATGTTGCATGAGTGGCAACTAAAGTTCATATTTGAATACTGGCCTAGAACTGGAATGATTCTTACTGCACGGTCCCTCATCTGTGCTTCGACATAGCGAGCCTCACGTGTCCTCATTGGAGGTGCCCCGAAGCGGAACCCTCTTGGAGTCCGTTCACGATGACACACTCTCATGCTTTGATATGTAGGCGGGTACGAACAAGTATCAGGCATTTCCTTGTAAAATAGTATACAACCGAAGCTCCATCGTAGGATAAGATGTCCGGTAGCTCCAAGCTAGAGGAGCTGGCCTATAGAGTCCCCACCTCTCGCCTGTGTTTTGTCAGTAGTGGGGCAACTATGCCACCCTAAGATATGCCTAGATAAAGTCAATTCATTTAGTTGGGGCAGCTATGCCACCCTAAGATATGCCTAGATACAGTCAATTCATTTAGTTGGGGCAGCTATGCCACCCTAAGATATGCCTAGATACAGTCAATTCAATTGGATGGGGGAACTATGCCACTCTCAAGTTATACCTGAGTACAGTCATTTTATCTGGTTGGGGCAACTATGCCACCCAAAGATATACCTTAGCGTAATCAATTGCTCTGGATGGGGCAACTATGCCAGGCCAAGATGTACACTAGCACAATCATCAACGCCAATTCGTCGAACTTGAAGTTACACTGCTCGTGTCAGCAGAAATGAAAGAGAGCAATTAACCCACACTGTGGGTTAATTGCTTAATTCCTGTGGGTCCCACAGGAAGCCGCCAAGAGACGTAGTTGGGGAATAGACCATATGCATGATGTACCCAGCAAGAACGTCATAAAGGTATATTCTTTGTGTTATATAATACGATTCTATAGACCATAAATGACAAGCTCTATACAGCCACACATCATATTGAAAGACTTAAGCCATGCACGGAGAGCTTAGCCTTATATAGCCATTCTAGATTGTACAGCGCGCTTCCTCGATATTCGAAAATTTTTCGATGAAGTCACCGCAGTACTAGATACCATATGAGCCGATTCAAAGACGGCGTCAATCTTAAACGACTACATCTCGACTTGGAGCCATGTCTGAGCTTGAGTTCAATTACTATGGAGTCGAACCTACGTTAAGCTCAGACCGTCTTGCACTCTTGAATCTCCTCAACCATTCGAAGACTGCAGCTTGACTGAAGTGATTTTCGGGCTGGCTGCCACTGAATTTACTAGTCATGTTTTCGGAATCAGCATTTCGGAGTCCCTCTAAGTTCGTTGGAAACTGCTACCAAATCTTATTCCAGGAGTTTTTTGCTTACCCACATTCCTCTGGAACTGTCATCATGAGTGCTGTCGCTGTAGCTCCCGCTTCTCTCGGATTTCATGCTCCCGGTAAGAGGCGGCGTTCTTTCGTAAGCTCCGACCAGTATCGTATCCTTTCAGGTCTCATCACCGGTACCATCATCTTTGCCGTATTGGGAGTAGTGTTCACCTTTGTGGCCCCCATCCTCTTCGCTAAGGAGACCCCCAAGATTACGAAGGGCGAGAGTAAGTGATTCCGCGTGATTGTCGGATGAGGTCACCACCTCTTTTCCTCAGGCATCAGACTCTCCATCCTCCTCGTATGGTTAACGACTATTTGCATGTGGATGTTGTAATTACATCATCGCTGCTCATCCTCCCTTTGACTGATCTCTTCTCAGTTGGGCCTTCGTCTACATGCACCAGATGGTACCCCTGATGAGCCCCATCCGTAAGAATCCCCTTTTGGAGTAATTCCAGCACTAAAAGTTGCCGCCAAGTTTTCCATCATGCTGGCCGATGACCGCTATTCCCGACAAGTCAACTTCAACAACAGCCGTTCTCTCTCTCGTGGTCTTCCTCCAACAATCTCTCGTTTATGCACTACGTTGTAGTCTTGCAGTCAACGCTTTGTATTCATCCGACCACTGGTTGTTGTTGAGACTATCCTCTGGTGCAATGATGGAGTTTGGTGTGTCTTCCTCTACTCTATGAGTGAGTAATACTATTGTGACTTTGTGCTATTCAGTGCCGACACCATCGATGGTAGTGAGAACCTTCAGTATCGTACCATTCCTGTGTGGTATCATTGTGGGCTGCCTAATGGTTGTTTATTCGAATACAATTCACCAACTAATGTCGAGTTGAGTTATGAGTTCGACAGGACGTATGCAGATATTCGACATGCTATCTGTTTATCTTGGTGAGATGTCGCAACTTGACGTGGGAACCTCGATGATATGACAGGGTATGACGTGATGAAATCGATGCGAATCGTACTCCTACTATCCGTTACAAGCTCTTTGTGTAAATGTAGCCGTGTATGAAGTCCTCGGAAGAAGTCTTCTTGCTGCCCATTGCCAAAATCTTATTGTTGCCTATTTCCAAATCCCAGAGGGTTACTTGTATTCGATAACTCAAGTTTTTGGAGCAGAAACCTATGCCGTGGTGGTACGTGATGTTGTATAACCGGGGTGATATAGGTTATGAGTACAAAAATAAGTTTCAAAATCAGTTGCCACATGCAGTTGCCGTCGAAGCCTCGTATAATCGTCTGTGTCTTGAGGGTGTGTAACATGGCGCCTACTTCTTCGATGCTCTTTACGGCGATTGCAAGGAACGATCACGCAAAAGCCCCTACACCATCGACACCCGCGTTACTCATTAGAATTGCCATTCTAACACAACAGACTATGCTGCAATAACCATGAGTGCAATTAGTCGTGAATTAAACTGCATCATTCTTCGGCCTCTACCCAAGCCACAGAGGCTTTCAATAATGGGCCCAAAAAGGACCTAGAGTACTCAAAGCCGAGGTGTGCAAGGAGAAGGTTGAGATCTCTATGATAGGGCAAGGCCGACAGCTGCCCGCTGGCGATCAGCTTCCTCACTGTACCAACCGCCGTTTCCTCCGGCAGGAGCCTCAGGACCTCACAAATGAGTCCGCAAGTCTCAGAATCGAACCCCAGGTCCTCAGGATAGTCGATCAGGAGGGCCGCCGCGAATTCCGCCGCATGGACCGACTTAACCGCGAGAACTGTCTTAGCTATCTGTTTCTTGTTGGCCTCAGCGAACGTCGCATCCGACGTCGGCA